GCCGCACAACCAAGGCATGTACCGACTACAGAAGGAAAGGGGCTTTATTCTACTCATCGCCTACGTCGACGACCTACTCTACATTGGCTCCACTACCGACATCGCCACCTGGTTCGAAGGGGAGCTGAAAAGTGACTTGACACTCACGGTGTCTGACACCGTGACCCAGTACTTGGGTCTGAACGTCGTCGAAGACAACTCGGTGTTCTAACTATATGCTGGAAAATACGCAGGCGTTGTCGCGAAGAAATTCGGACTAACACCGGCTACAGTCACGACTCCCTATCGCTACGGGAACAACAACGACACCTCCGCAAAACCCCCCGCGAAGCAAATCCAGGAGTATCAGCAGAAGCTCGGCTGCCTACTATTCGCAGCAGTAACCTGCCGACCTGACCTATCCTACAGCGCGAGCCAGCTGGCGACGCATGTGAAGCTGCCGGAACAAGAAGATCTCGAGGAACTAAATCAGGCACTACTGTACTTTGTCTCTACGCCGACGACTGGACTTACCTACAGTAAAGTAACGACATCGTCCGTACAACTACTCGGATATGTCGACGCTAACCACGCGGGAGACAGGGATAATCGACGCTCAAGAACGGGCTACATCTACTGACTAGAGCCTATCGGGACTATCTCTTGGCAGTCGAGCAAACAGGAACTAATCGCACTATCTTCGGCTGAAGCAGAATATATCGCCCTCTGCACTGCGACCAAGGAAGGACTTTACCTGCGGGAGTTACTCGAGGAAGCAAAGATTGCAACCCTGCCCGTCTTCTCACTCCTCTGCGACAACCAATCTGCGATCAAAATCGCGAACAAGGACGGTTTCGCCAACCGAACCAAGCACATCGCCCTGCGGTATTTCTTCGTCAAAGATGAAATCGCGAAGGGGAGACTTCAACTCAGTTACTGCCCCACGACAGAAATGGCTGCAGACTACCTGACGAAGAAACTGGCGAAAGCAAAGTTCGATTACTGCATGCTACTGACCGGGCAGACAAATGTCACCGAATCCGGACACAGCAGCACTCCAGAAACGAAGGGGAGTGTTGGAAATATCTCGAGGATCTAAGCGTTTCTGAAGTGTAAACACAACAATCGAGGAAGATCGTAACGAGTACGCGAGTCAACGGAGGTTACACGAGGGGATGGACAAAGAACACGAAAGGACTCGAAGGGTTGCAACCGGAGGTTGCGACTGACCGTTACAACTGCAAGGATGGTAATCGAAGCGACAATCGAGTCGCTGTGCGACTCGATAATCGCCCTTTCAACTGTATTCTACAACTGCTTCAACTTCTTTACTTTCCTACTTTCTATATATTGTTGTACGCTTGTTCTTTTAATCAATCACTTGTTCTCACATCCTAGTACAAGGGTTCAACTACTCAACTTCCGCAGCACTACTCAAGTCTCCATTTACAACTGGACTTAGTCTCTGAAAAGATCCTAAGGGCTATTTCTCAGCCCAACATGGTGCCTACCGGAGGGGAGGTGGTGGTGGTGTGATAAGCTCGAACATCTTCCACTCCGGGAGTGTACCGTCCGTATTCTCCCGGATAGAGTACCCGCCGGAAATTTAAACCACGGACTAGAAAAGCACACCATAGGGCATAGGCGCTCTTCAAAACTGAGTTTTTTGGGGGTCAGAATAAACGACCAAGACTCAAGTATCAGAATGATGAATGACTAGAATGGGGAGAGACAAGGCAATATAGATTGGTGAGCTGTACCCACAAAGGCACAAACACATATAGTCTACAGTAACCGCATAAGTTATGTTTGACACACCCCCTAGACTATATAGGGGCAATGCCTAACAAGAAAAGAAGTAGCTCAGGGTGGCACAACTAGTCCAGCCTCTCAGACAAGGGTCTAAAGACCAGTCACAAGTAGTACGGACAAGGCAAGAGCAAGGCAAGGGCGACACTACTAGTCCAGCCACTGGGAGAGGCCACAAGGCCAGTCTGGGTAAAATATATATATAAAGGACAGTACAAAGTCAAGGCCCTAGCAAGTTAGAGGCTACAGGAACAAGTCCCAGCTGTACACTGTGCCGCTGATGATCTTTAGGCGCAAGTGCCTTCGTAAAGATATCAGCTGTGTTGGCATCGGAGGCCAAGTGTACTATGCGCGCCTGGCAACGTTGCTGGAGCTCACGCAGGAGGAAGTACCGCAGCTGAATGTGCTTTGCTCTGCCCTCGAGTCGAGGCTCCTGACACAGGAGGATCATGGCCCTGTTGTCAGCGTATAGGACCGGGGCAGAGCTAGGCCGCTCACCGAAGTCAGTGAGCAAGAAGGTCAGCTAGCGGAGCTCCTGTGCCGCCATGGCACCGGCGTAGATCTCGGCCTCACAGCTGGACTGGGCAACAGACGAGGAGCGGGTAGCTCTCCACGAGACGGCACCTGAACCAAGGCTGAAGCAGTAGCCCTACGAGGACCTGAGGGTCTCGGCGTCGTCTGCCCAAGAAGCATCTGTGTGTCTAGTAAGGACCACTGGCCTGTGTCCTCCTAGCACTAACCCCATGCCCGATGTACTTGCAAGATAACGCAAAACCCTCTTAGCGGCAGACCAGTGCTGTGGTCGGTGTCTGCCTGTAGCCACAAAGCGAGCCAGGATGCTGAGAGGGTATGCGAGATCTGGGCGAGTGCAAGTCATCAGGTACATGAGGCAACCCACCAGCTCTGCGTAAGGACCACTGGGCTCTGCCGACTCCTCAGGAACAGGAGCGGAGAGTCTGTGGTCTAGAGGCAGAGGAGTGGGCTGTGCGGAGAAGAACTGAAGGCCGAACCTCTTAAGGACCTGGCGCACCAAGTGTGACTGAGTCAAAGTCATGGTGCGCGCTGCTCCGTCCCTGGAGATTTGCAAGCCAAGGTAGTGACGCAGTTCTCCGAGGTCAGTGCAGGTGTGTCTCTTCACCAGCTCTGCCTTTACGGAGGCCAGTGCGTCCCTGTGTGCCGTGGCGAAGACCAGGTCGTCTACGTAAACAAGGATGTAGAACAGGTTCTGGCCAGCCCCAACGAAGAGCGAGGGGTCTGCAGAGGATGGAAAGAAATGCAGGTCAGCAAGCGTAGCACGCAGCGTATCGTGCCACTGACGGGGAGCCTGCCGCAGGCCGTAGACGGGGCGCCGCAGGAGCCACTGGGTCCCAGGAGCCACCGTTTTCCTCACCAAATCTCAACCAGGATATTTTTCCCAACCAGTCACGACTACTTCGACTGCTGCACCGCTCAGAGACATACGGATCCTAGCGTGATTCTAATAGTGCAAGGATGCACTGTCAACCGTGCTATGTTACCCTAAGTCTTGTGGCAGATACGCAATTTTTCGCCACTCTGCTCGTAATTTTTAGCTACAACGGTGCGATGAAGACGATCCATGATAAGACGAGACCAATCGACTAATGGCATCTTTGGCAACACCTCAGCATGGCTAGTCTTAGAGATAACATTCAACATGAAACCGTGCACAGTACTCTTGCATACGTTCAAATACTTCGTGATTTTCCTAGTGCTCACCCCCTTATGCAAAAGCGTGGGTCCAGGAAGAGTGCGAGAAGATCCCTGTAAAGGTTTGCACTAACCTCGTAGATAACATGCCTAGGAGGGTGTAGGTGGTGATTAAGGCCAAGTGTCGGTTGACTAGGTACTAGATTTGCTAGTAACTAGTTTGCTGCCTGTCCTCGGTACAAATTGTCAGGAGGTGCTGTTATTAAATGGTCATCTTGAAGGACCATGAAATATACTACTCTGGTTTTAGGAGATTTGAGTGAGTGCTCTAACTGCTCCTCTCTACGTGTATGGCCACCATGAATTAAGGCTTAATGTTTATAGTGTACAGCTCGTCAAAATGTAAAAATATGCTAAACATGTGGACAATTGTTTCCGCCACTGTATTTTGAGTAATTCTAGCTCCTAAGTTCACCTAGACTCCGTCCTTAATCCTATCACATCGGTTTGGTCATGGAGGTGGCTCGCACCTCCATGATCCATGCCGGTGCACCCCATTTTCTGTGGCCGTTCGCCGTTCGCTACTCCGCTCACCAGCTTAACCTGTGGCCGCACCGCCAGCAGCCTCAGGTTTCGCCGACCCCTCTTTGGTCTACGTGTATGGCCACCATGAATTAAGGCTTAATGTTTATAGTGTACAGCTCATCAAAATGTAAAAATATGCTAAACATGTGGACAATTGTTTCCGCCACTGTATATATCCGAAATTCTGTACAGAAAAGTCATCTTCACAAGAAACGACGTAGACGCAAAAATAGCCGTTCGAAAGTCGCGAAACTCAGATATCTTGTAGCTTTTAATCTTAGCTACCGTTCTCAATTTGAATCACGTCGATTGATGGAGTATTCGCGATGCTATATCTTTCGACGCACTGGGGGTAAGCTGTAGGAGGAGAACTTAACTCAATCTCAAAAGTTCAATCAAAGTTCAAGAATCTCACAAGGAATTAGAGGAGCAAGAGAAAGGTTGGGATGGGAAGAGAGGGACGAGAGGGAAGGTCCCAAGAGAGTCCCCAACCAAGGAAACCCCATAAGCACAAAGATTCCCTCCCTATAGGAACCCCAACTTTGACATTTGTCCCTTCGCAACCAATCCATCCAAGTTGGCCACCCTTGCCAACCTAGCTTGGTTGTTCCCAACCAAGTTGCAGCTATTACAGTAGAGTGACGAATTTCCCCAACCCCAAAGGTCCCAACTCCATATAGAGTCACCCCACAACTTCACTTTGTAACCGCCGCAATTGTAACGCAAGCTCATGAACTTTGAATCTTCATAGCTTTCGCGTTCTTGCTCCGATTGAAGCGATTCTTGTTGCGTCGGAAAGATCTTCTCAAGATCTATCATCAAAAGTACCTGCTCAGACACAATAACACAAAACACATTCCCACACTCCAGAACACACACCACACAAATTCTTTCACACACTGTCAAACCATACATACGAATTGAAACAAGGGATGGGAGGCAGACAGAATGTGATAGCATATGATGACACCACACAACAATCTCCCCCTCTGGCTGCCAACCATCAACCACCATACCAACATCTCAAGCATGCATACTCAATGCACACACATCCCAGCAAGCTTCATGCCCTTCCAATGATCCGCCTCCGCTAGACGCTTGGTGAAAATATCTGCTGCCTGCTGATGGGTCTTCACTATCGCCAGCATTACCTCCTTATCAAGGAGTCTCCTCACCCAATGCCACTTAGGCCTTATGTGTTTTGTCAGCCCATGCAGACAAGCATTCTTGGCGAGCTTCACAGCAGTCTCATTGTCACAAAACACAACTGTAGGCTCCTCTTGACCAACTCCCAACTCCTCCAACAAACGCCTCAGCCACACCACTTCCTTGACCCCATGGTGTAAGGCCATGTACTATGTCTCACATGAGGACAATCCCACCTCATTCTGCTTCTTGCTGCGCCAGCTCACAGCACCACCTCCTAGCAAGCACACATAACCCCCAATGCTGGTGCCATCCGCTTTCACCGAGTTGAAGCTAGCGTCAGTATAGCAACTTAAGAGCATCTCTCCACTCTTCACATCTGCAGCACCTCTCTGCAACCGCTGCCTTACTCCATTGTACTCCAATCCCACTCATGCCGTAGCGCTCACATAGCGGACCAACCTCTTGGCCGCTTCCAGCTGCTCATGACTAGGGCGTGAGACCACACTAGCCAACCGTAATGTAGCAAATGCAATGTCAGGCCGTGTATGATTCGCAGCATAATTCAGCGACCCAACCATCGAATGAAACAGCTTCCTGTCACTCTCACCCACTATCTCCTCATCAGCACATGGCTCCACAGTAAACCCCGAAGGTAGTGGTGTTGCTGGCTTTCCCCCATCTTGCAGCCCATACTTCTCAGCCAGCCCCTCACAGTACTTCCTCTGGTGCAACCTCAGCACACCCTTTTCCACATCTCTCTCCACATGCATCCCCAGGTAGTACTTCACCTCACCCATCTTGGAACACTTGAACTGCATCTCCAGCTTCTGTTATGCGCTGTCCAGCAAAGCAGTTGATGCAGAAAAGAGAAGGATATCATCCACATACACCAAGAGCATGAGGATTTCATCCTTCTCCTGCAGCAGGAACAGGCTAGGGTCACACTCACTCTTCTTGAAACCCCCAGCCAATAGCGCCTCCTCCAACTTGTGATACCATGCACGAGGTGCCTGCTTAAGGCCATAGATGGCCTTCTTCAACCTGCAGACCCTGCCGCTCCCATCATCCAGCCCCTCTGGCTGCTTCATGTACACCTCCTCCAGAATGATCCCATTCAGAAAGGCAGTCACAATGTCCATCTGCCGTCTCTTCCATCCCAGGATTGCAGCTATCGCCAACAGCACCCTCAGTGTTGTTCCTTTCCCCACAGGAGCGAACACCTCATCATAGTCCTTCCCCTTTCTCTGCTGAAACCCCCGTGCCACAAGCCTAGACTTGTAGCGGGTGAGTTCCCCTTCAGGTCCATACTTGTGCCTGTAGATCATCTTGGAAGTGATAACCTTCTTCCCAGGAGGCAAGTCATACAGATCCCATGTCTCGTTCTCAATCAGGGACCCGAACTCCTCATCCTCACTCGCCTTCCACTTCTCCCCACTTGGTCCATTCAAGGCCTCTTCTCGAGTCTTGGGCTCAGGGATTGGTGCCCAGTAGCAGTGAGCGATCTCATCTTCCTCAATCTGCTCAACCACACTCCCAGCCTGCACCACATTCGGCTTGCCTCTTCCCCCATAGGTTAGCCTCACAGGAGGGCGCACATCCCTCCTAGGTTGCTCAGGCGGGTGTGGAACTCGAGGTGGAGACTCATGTTGCTGCTGCTGCTGCTCCACTTCAGCTGCTCCCCCTTTCTCAGTCACCCCAGACATCTCCTCCTCAGACACTATAACCTCCACCTGTCTTGAAGGCTGCAGCACCTCATCTGCCTCCACAATGAGGGGTATAGATGGAAGCTTCTGTTGCTGCTGCTTCCATTCCTTGTAGTACAGGGACTCAAGAAACTTCACATCCCTTGACGCAGTCAGCTTTTGGGTGGTCAAGTCCCATAGCAGCCACCCCTTGTGATCTTTTGCAATCCCCAAGTGCACACCCCATCTTCCAAAAGCCTCCAACTTCCCCCTTTTCTCCTTAGGCACATGAAACACCACCATGCACCCAAATGCCCTCAGCATGTTCACAGCTGGAGCACTTCCATACCACTTGGTATATGGGATCCACTTCTTATCCCCAACTATAGCCAGCACCCTGTTCTTGACAAGGGCGACCTGCCTCAGTGCAGACACCCAAAACGGATCAGGCAGCCCTGCACGCCCAAGGAGAGTGTGTGCCCCCTCCTGCAGGGTCCTGTTGAACCTCTCAGCCATGCCATTCTGCTGCGGGTTATAGGGCACTGTTAGTTGGTGCTGGATCCCCTTCCTCTTCAACTCCCCCTCAAAATCAGCTCCAATGAACTCCCCACCATTGTCACTGCGGATCACTTTCACCTTGTGTCCCCATTCCCTCTGAGCTCTAGGCATCCACTCCTTAAGGACAGCCGCTACCACCTCCCACTTGCTCTTCAAAGGGTAAACCCACACTGCCCGAGTGTGGTCATCCACAATTGTCAAGAAATAGCGGCTGCCTGAGAGGGAAGGGGCTCTTGTGGGCCCCACCACATCCATGTGCACAAGTGCAAGTGGGGTCTTGGCTGGTCCTGTAGTGCTGTTGAAGGGGAACTTGGAGAACTTGGTCTCCAAGCATGTAGGGCAGCTCCCAATCTCCTTCACTCCGCCTTTCACCTCCAAGCCCTTCAGGCTCCCATCCTTCACCAACTTCTGCAGCATAGGGAAGTTCACATGACACAGCCTCTCATGCCATGTCTCCCAATCGGCCTCACCACTCCTAGATGAAGCTTTAGCCCATGCCGCGCTTGCATCCACTCCAGCAAGCACCTCCCCATGTGTATGCTGCTGCTGCACTTTCTTGACTGCTTCCAGGACCCCAACAGTTGGTGCAATTGCATCTCCTCCTGCTGTTGCCTTTGCCGCTGCTGCCGTTGCTGCTGTTGGAGTCTTCCCATTCCAAGGGATGATGGGCAGCTGCCATAGGTCCTTGATGCAGCTGGTCTCCTCTTCCAGACTCCACAGCACCTTCTTCCCAAGCTTAGCACGGCAGCTGGTTGGTCCAAAGGTCACTTCGGCCTTACTCTTCTGCAGCCGCCGCACAGAGAGAAGGTTAGCAGACAGACCTGCAACCAGCAGGACATTCCCAAGCCCCACAAGCTCCCCATTAGCTCCCTTAACCTTGGCATTCCCAACACCAATGACAGGGAGCAAAGCCAATGACGCTGCTGCCACATACTTAATCTTCCCCGCGGGTTTTACCTTATCAAGCAAATCTGCCCGTTGGGTTATGTGACTGGTGCAACCTGAATCAATCACCCAGTGCGTGAGAGGGTGCATCACAACCTTTCCCACAGATCCCACATCACCCTCATGCCCATGCACATCCTCAACTATGAGAAACATCCCAGGATAGGCATTACCTTGTGCACCTTCTCCTTGTGCACCTGAGCCTTGCACAGCGCCACCTTAAGCGCGTTCACCACTTGGCGGCTTCATGCCTGGAGGTGCCCATCCCTCCGGCCTGCTGAAGCACTTGAACCAAGGATGCCCGACCTTCTTGCAGTACCAGCAAGTGCCCTCCATTCTGGTACTCCCCTTGCCACTAGAGCTCCCATGCCCCTCAGTATAGTCACCTCGGCCTCTACCTCTGCCAAAGCTCCTCCCACGGCCTCGGCCTCTCCAACCCCCTCTTCCTCTGCCGCGCCCTGCAGCTCCATACCCCTCAGCAGTCTTAGTGGAAGCACCACCTCCCACATGGCGTCTGCGGAACTCCTCCTACAGAATCTGCTGTCTTAGCCACTCAGGTGTCCATTGATCTTGCTGAGAGTTGAGGGTGGGGATGAGGTTGTCCCAAGAGTTGTCCAACACCGAGATGATCTTGGTGCACTGCTGCAGCTGAGATACACTACTGCCCGCTGCTGCCATCCTTGCATAGGTGTCCTTGATCTTGTCAAGGACCGGCTTCACATCGTCCCCTGGTCGCATGGAGATGGCAGCAAGTTCCTTCTCGAGCACGATCACCATCGGGAGAGTGTTGGGCTGAATCATGTCGCGTAGTAGTTTCCACGCCCTTGGGCCCGAATCATCCGCTTCCACAAGATGTGCTCGAACATCTCTTTGTTGACCGATTGAAGGATGAGGTCGAAAAGCACCGCGCTTTTCTCAATCCACCGTTCGCGTGCTTCGCCTTCCTCCGGCATCTTCTCCTCCCCAACAGCAATCTTCAGGAGCTTGTAGCGTTCGAAGGCACTCCTCACCCGCCTGCTCCATTCCTCATAGTTGGAGACATCCAAAGCTTCAACTTTTGATGGCGGCGGTTCACTTGTCTTTTCTGGTACAGCTCCTCTTCCATTAGCATCTCCTCCTCTCTCATTCATATTTTCCTTGAGATATCGACGAATTTCAGCTCCCCTTTGCTGTCCACACTCAGCTCCCTCGATATTTTCACAAGTGTCGGCGTCCACGAAATTTCGGCAGAGTTTCCCCTTAGCGGAAGACACATCCAACCTTTAGAACACCACTTAGGCACACCCACAGGCCATGGTGGGTCTAGAAGGGTCTTCAAACTTTTGTAGACTCCTCTTAATATCCTTAATATGGCTCTGATACCGCTTGATAGGATTAAGGACAGAGTCTAGGTGAACTTAGGAGGTAGAATTACTCAAAATATATATCCGAAATTCTGGACAGAAAAGTCGTCTTCACAAGAAACGACGTCGACAAAAAAGTAGCTGTTGGAATGTCGCGAAACTCGGATATGTTGTAGCTTTTAATCTTAGCTACCGTTCTGAATTCGAATCACGTCGATTGAAGGAGTATTCTCGACGCTATGTCTTTCGACGCACTGGGGGTAAGCTGTAGGAGGAGAACTTAACTCAATCTCAAAAGTTCAATCAAAGTTCAAGAATCTCACAAGGAATTAGAGGAGCAAGAGAAAGGTTGGGATGGGAAGAGAGGGACGAGAGGGAAGGTCCCAAGAGAGTCCCCAACCAAGGAAACCCCATAAGCACAAAGATTCTCTCCCTATAGGAACCCCAACTTTGACATTTGTTCCTTCGCAACCAATCCATCCAAGTTGGCCACCCTTGCCAACCTAGCTTGGTTGTTCCCAACCAATTTGTAGCTATTACAGTAAAGTGACGAATTTCCCCAACCCCAAAGGTCCCAACTCCATATAGAGTCACCCCACAACTTCACTTTGTAACCGCCGCAATTGTAACGCAAGCTCATGAACTTTGAATCTTCATAGCTTTCGCGTTCTTGCTCCGATTGAAGCGATTCTTGTTGCGTCGGAAAGATCTTCTCAAGATCTATCATCACAAATACCTGCTCAGACAGAATAACACAAAACACATTCCCAAACTCCAGAACACACACCACACAAATTCTTTCACACACTGTCAAACCATACATGCGAATTGAAACACGGGATGGGAGGCAGACAGAATGTGATAGCATATGATGACATCACACAACACGATGCGTCACTCAGCGACCCCATTCTGCTGCAGGGAGTCCGGCAAGGTGAACATCTGGGTGATGCCCTCCGCACGACAGAAACAACCAAGGACACCAGAGGCAAAATCGCCACCACGGTCGGAGTGGAGACGCACGACAGGGAGACCGCGGTGGACACGCGCAGAGACAAGCCACGGGATGACAATGTCAGGCACTTCGGCCTTCCGCTCCAGGGGAAACACGGTGGTGTAGCGCGTGTAGTAGTCGACAATCACTAGAAAGTAGTGCTCTCGACGCGGCCCATGGATGGGGGCGGGGCCCCAGACGACCATGTGCAGAGTCTGTAGCGGTGCTGCGGTAGGGGGAAAGGAGGAGGAGTGAGGGGCACGGCGGAGCCGGCCCTCGATACAGGGCGTGCAAGGTGGGGCTGGGGAGGAGGGAAACTCGGGGAACTACCCGGGGAGGCCTAGGACGAGACCATGCTGTGACATGTGACGCAGACGCGGGAGCACAGGGTGACCTAGACGGTGGTGCCAGAGAAGAGTTGGGTGGGTGAGAGACCGACAGGAGCAGGCAGCAGCAATTGGGGGAGACGCAGCCACCTGAGGGGGGGTCTAAGCCGTCATCGTGTCCAGTGTGAAAAGACCGGACACCGGGTTCCGGGGGAACGTGGACAGGGGGGCACTTGTGGCGGCCTCGGTATAGACAGCGTACCGCTCGTGTCCAGGGAACGTAGTGGTGACGCCAAGATCCTGAAGGCAGCTGACACCAACTAGGTTCCTGGAGAACGAGGGGATGTGTAGTCCTGTGGGCGAGCTCGAAGGAACCGCCGGGCAGGAGAGGGTGGTGGAACTGCGGGCGACTACAGGGCCGGAGGAGGGGTCAGCAAGAGAGACTGCGGCAGTGACAGGAAGCGGTGCCAACGTGGTGGAGTCGCGGAAGAAGCCCCGGGAAGCGCAAGAGTCGAGGGTGAAGGAGAGCGCGGCAGTGTCGGCCGGAGGCGAAGCAGCGACGAAAGCACCAAGGCTAAACAAAGCAAGGGATGCTACGCCTAATGCAGCAGGGGAGGCTAAGCAAGGCACACCTACACTAGGCAATAAGGGGTAATAAGATGGAAGCACACTAAAGTCATCAGCAAACATCACATGCAGAGCAGTAACAATCGCATCCATATCGAGATAAAAAATCTGAACCCTACGACGAAGCAAGCTGTGCTAGTCTGGGAGCTTGGGGGACGGGCCGAAGCGCTGACGAAACAGGTCGTCCAGGCGACGAAAACAGCGGACGGAGGTGTGACCGATCTTACCGCAAACGAAGCCACGGCAAGGACCGGTCTGGAGCAGGTACTGATAGCGCGCGTCACCCAAACCAGCACCCAGCAGCCCACCACGCGCACCACGACCACGTCCAGCGCTACCAGCAGCGCCAGGCCACCCGGGCGGGAGATCACTCGCCTGTCTCTGCTGCTGCTGCGGCTGTTGTGACTGCTGCGGCTGCTGCGGCTGCTGTGGCTGACGCGAGTCTGACTGCAACACCGGCGGCTGCTGAGACGGCTGCTCGGCTGCACCTGTCAAGGTCCCCTCGTCCGCATCACCACCAGGAGACCCAGATCCAGCACCACCTACACATGCACCCCCACCCCCGCCCCCACGCACAGCCTAGGGGCGGCGACCCTTCCCCGGACGGACCTGTGCTGCTGCGGCAGTCTCAGCCACAGCAGCAGAACTGTCGGAGAAGGTGCACTGAGCGCGGGCGCAACCTTGAAAGATAGGGACCGGCACAGTACCGTTGGTCACAGTACTGGCTAGGGACGGGCGCGACGGCCAGGGGGCCGGCTAGGGACAAGCGCGACGGCCAGGGGGCCGGCTAAGGTCGGGCGCGACGGCCAGGGGGCCGGCTAGGGACGGGCGCGAACGGCTTAGGGGGCCAGCTAGGGGCGGGCACGTACGGCCAGGGGGCCGGCTAGGAGCGGGGCAAGACGGCGGCTAGGGCCTAGGGGCGGAAGCGTGGGTGGGCTAGGGGGGGGACCTAACCTACTATGATACCATATCAGAATGAAGAATGACTAGAATGGGGAGATACAAGGCAATATAGATTGGTGAGCTGTACCCACTAAGGCACAAACACATATAGTATACAGTAACTGCATAAGTTATGTTTGACATCGAGCACTACACACCAAACGAAAAAAAAAAAAAAAAAAAAACGTGTTGCGACAGTTTGAAACGTAGCGAAAGGCCCACGAGTCGGGAGCAGGGGTGACGAATAAAATAAAATAAAACCCAGTCTGATTTTGGCCCCAAAATAAAATCCCAAGTCTGAGTAGCCAGGTTTCAGATTTCATGTAGTATGATTTTGCAGGATCCAGTGAATCTCAAGTCTGATTTTTTCAGGGTTCGCCGGTATCAAGCAGACTCGTGATTTCACCATTTACTCGCCATCATTTCATAACATTTTGGCAGTTAACCAACACCTACTCTAGTTTCCTAGCCTATCTAGAACTCTGGCACATCCACAGAGACTACATCCTCCGCCTCATCATCCGACAGGAAGGGGTTGTCTTCTATAGCTGCTGCACCTCCA